TTATAAAAATATACAAAAATCTTAATATACTTTTCACTTTCTCTCACATCAATTTGCTTAAATCCAATTAAGAATACATGAAAAATGCGAGATTTGTTTTCTTTTTTGTTTAAATTCATTACGTACTTAGTAAACTCTACTAATTCTTTTCTTGGCTCCATTGAAAATGTAAGTATGTCACAATATCAGTTGATTTAAAACAAAATTTACAATTGTTTTTTGGAATCTCACAAGTCTTTCCTAAGTCAATACATATAGTCTCAAAATGGAGAAATTATAGAATACTACAGTAGTATAACCGCATAATAAGTATTGAATTGATCTCTAAGACCATCCCCAATGGAAGCCTTAAATTAGGCTCTACCTCCTTAGGGCTCATAGATATATGAGTCCTAAATCTGTGGACTCTATATCATGAAACTCGCCGGAAATAATCCTAAATCTGTGGACCTGTATAGAGCCTTAGAGCCTCAGGGGACCCCACATTTTGAAAAACTAAACCTGCAAAAGCATGAAAAATCAGCGGGCCATACATATTGAAAAGTATTAAAAATTACTTTTCATGTTGCAACGGTCCTTTGTTTTTTCTCATTATGTTTACTGTTTCATTCTTTTTCCCCCCCCCCCCAACCTTTTTTTTTCTCTCTTTCATGGAAATACTTCAATTGTTCTACGTTTCTAGATTTAAATATGCTTCTTCTTCTTTTTTTAAAGTACAAATTTGAAACATTTGGACTTTATATTTTATTGTGTTTACTTTCAAATTATGTCTTTTTAATATTTTCCAAATTTTAATTTTTTTTTTGGGTAGAAATGCTAGTAAAAAAAAAATACTAATATAACATAAACATACATTAAAACAAAATAAGTTAACAACAACAAAAATTAATGCGTAGAATAAATTACATCATAAATTAAATAAAAAAAAACTTATAGAGCCCCGGATATAGAACCCTCATTATAAGAAAGATACCTTTAAAGCCCGTAATATTCCATCGAAGTTCTAAATGGGGTTCTATCCACCATATTTAGAGCCTCAACCATTGCGGATGGTCTAATCTGCCGACTTTGCATCTCTAATTTCAAATACAAGAAAGTTTGATATGAAAAATTAACCCTCAAGTCCTTTTCATGAACACGAATCCAAAGCCTAGAAAAGGACGTATAAGCTTTTCTCTGTTCTTCCTCAAATGCTGCCTATTATGTTATGTTGGAGGAACCAAAAGATAAAGAATTTCCAAAAGCAATTTATTTCTTTTTGGGTCAAGTTTTGGACATGATGAAAAGCCCAATCTCGACCAATTTTGGGCCAGATTCGATCCCAACGGGAAGGACTAAAATGATTTTCTTCATTGATTTCTTCTTAAATACAAAATTTTCTTCATAGTGAGAATGAATTGATTTTTTGTTTTTTTGGGTTTTGAAATTTTGAAAGTTTTGAAGATTGTACTTGGCCCAAATTATAGCTCATTTACTCACTTTGTCATGTATTTGATGAGGAGGACACCGATCTCGATAGGTCACTGGTCTAAAATTTAAGAGGCTTACCCACCTAGATGTGCAAGAATGGCCTTCTACATAAACAACCTGGTCCCAACTGCCATTCTACCAACATGCATAACTGGTTTTGGACACATGAAGGCATATAAAACTCACCTGTTAAGAAATTATTGTATGGTACTCAAACAAGATTTTATGACGTGTGCGATAATATGCCGTTAAAATTAAAAGCATACAATATTAATAAATATTTGCTTATACGAGTTATATTACGTGGTCCCACCATAGTTACTCCATTTCATTCTCAGTAATAAATTCTGTTAAAAAATTATTAATATTTGTTACTATTATATTTTTATCGCCATCATCATCCTCTAATTAGGTCCTTAATTGAATAAGGACAAGAGTTCAAACCGCTTTCATCACATATGATATGATGATAAAGATACACTCGAAACTCGATAGATACATTTCACCCACTATCTCTATCGTCAATTTCTTCCAATATGATAATTGGCAAATAGATTTTGTCTTGTTACTATTTCTTATTAAAGTACAATTCTGTAAAATATCATGGATATATTATATGATTTTTATTTGCCAATTTTATTTATTTATTTATTCCCAACTAAACCCATGCATAGTACTTGTGTCATGGTAGTGATGCTAGCTAGACTATGTTTTTTGTTTTTTTTGTTGACAAATTCTAAAATTGCATTCATAATTTAGTCAAAAAAGTAAATAGTCATAGAGGGCCAATACAAACTAGCTACAAAGGGCTATTACAATAACAGAACAGTCTACCATCAAAATTAAGACAATCTAGTGTGCCTCTATTAACGATCACGCAGGAACGAAAAAACTTTGACAAAAGCATTTCAACTAAGATTGTAAAATCATAATAATTAAAAAATACAAATAAAATTCTCACAAAGGAGAAATGAAAATCTCTCATAAATGAAATTTATGTGATGGATTTGAGGCGACAATTGTAAGGGTACTGGACAAAGAACAAGTAGCCTAAAATGTGTGAGTTAAATACTATATTTAAACCTAGATCGAAGCCATGCAATTGACCGAGGCACATATACATTGACCACATAAAGCAGTCAATAATACAAATGGATGAACTTGTCAAAGTTATAAACCCCAAGAAACATGATCATATAAATAATTAACTAACAACATCGATCATAACACATTAATCTCTTCTTTTCTTTACACATAAAATTGTAAAAGCCATATTAAATACTTATAATATATGCAAAAATTAGTATTATTTTATAGCTAATTATATAATAATTAAACTATATATTCATTAATTAAGCACATGAAATACCAATATTAGAAGTACTAGTAGCTGTAAATCGCTCCGAGGTTGTCCTCCTGACCAACGCCCCAATCTCCGGGGAGAGACCACCGAAATCAAACTCATGAGGAACCACCTCAGGAATTGTCGTAAGTGCACCTGTCTTGTCGTACACAACAAAAAACCCGTCCTTGATGTTGGCCTGCGGATGATCTGGTACTCTAAAAACGACACCAGAATTGTTGTTGTTGTTGTTGCTGTTGCTTGATTTATTTGGCTTGAACACGGACCTCAGAAGCTTCTGAATCGAGCGAGAGAGCTTGTTTGACGAGGGTTTTTTGTCGGAGGCTGTTATGGCTGGCTGTGAAGGAGGAGGAGCAGGAGGAAGAATTCGGCGATCAGACAGATGAGGCATTGACATGGTTCTGCATGATATGGCCGAGTTGATTTGGCGCTTGAACGAGTCGAGCTCTACCGAGTCGTAGAGTGAGCTGCCACAATCCCACACCGGCCTGGAATTGTTGAGAACCAAGGCCTTAGATTGATTTTCATCGTGTTGTTGATCTTTCTTTTGATTCAGGGTTGGACGGGAGTCGAACTCTTGCAGTGAGCGACGACGAGGGTTTGAAGGTAATAAGTTATCTTCGCCACTTGCTTTGTAAGCTTCTCCGACTTTCATCACTTTATATTGATGTGCCTTGTGTTCTTGTGATTTCTTTTGGTTCATCGGAACGGCAGGATGAGAGTCAAACTCTTGCTGTGAGCGTCTGCGCGGATTTGAGGATAAGTGCTCTTTGCCGCTTGAGGTATAAGCACCGACCTCCATTACTTTCTTAATATGAGAGAGAGAGAGAGAGAGAGAGAGAGAGAGGTGGTGCTGCTTGGAAGCTCGAGAAGTTTTGTAGATGTGTATATGTAGAAGTTTGGGTTTAAAAAATGGTTGGTGAAGATTGAAACGCGTTAGTTATGAGTTATGATGACATGAAACTAAAAAGAGGGAGGTGGAGTTGGAGGTGGAGGTGGCAGCTACCCTGCTTTGCAAATTGCACAGTGTTCACGGCCATCATATTTGGACCATAACTTTACCTTCAGGCCTTTGCCGTGTCCAAGCTTTCCATTTATTAAGCCCTCGGCTCATTGAAAATGAGAGAGAGACAGAGTTACCTTTGACTTTTCCTGTCTTATCTTATTATCTCCAGACAAGAAACAGAAAACAATACAAAACAAAAAGGAAAGATAACTAAACAACAACCAGTCTTTCTCTTTTCGGGATATATATGGTCATAATCCAGTTTTCTTATTATGAATTTTATTTCAACGATCTCAAAATTTTAAAATTTAAATAAATTGAAAATCATTTAAACATCTAGTTGTGACGAAGAAAAAAAAAACCATCGATCCCGTAGTTTTTCTCTTTTAATATTAAGTCCGACGTCCCCGGATAAAAATAATTATTAGGAATTGCAGGTAATGGAAGCGAGTGACTACTTTTTCCATTATTTTTGTTTCATACAAATCAGCAGAAGCACGTATAATAATATGTTATTGTAATTATATATATTTATTCCCTTTCTATGCGTCTTCGTTTTATATTAATTGTTGATTGATGGGCACGTTGCTTAGACTTTGTCTAAGATTTCAGATCGAATTTGTTCAAGTATTTAATATGGTACATAACATGAAAAGGTGTCGTCGTATCCTCCAAGTGCTTGTTTGTCAAAATTGTTTAGGTTTATGGTTCGATTTCCTCCAATATACCTAAAATAAGAAAATGTACAGATGACGGGACCACGGCGGCAATTGTATCCCAATTTTCATTTTGGTATAAATATTTTCTATGTAGTTGGGTCAATAAGGCTTAAATTAATCAATGGGAATGTGCATTTGAGAGTCCACCTAAATTAAGGGACGCATTAGTACAGCAAGGCACAAAGTCACATAAGCAACCCTCTTCCAAAAATCACATGTCGATGACTCAATGTGAAAGGATCAATTATGAAAAACCACGCTTTTAATTAATATTAAATTGAGATATTCATATCCTACATGATTAAAATAAATAAATAAAACTTGGCCCAGGTTCTAGAAACTGTACAGGTTTGCTTCCACAATACACCACACCAAACTGAGATTTGGTAGCAACTACTATTTGATCAAACATAATCTCTCAGATTTGAATATGTACTCATAATTTGTTTAGTTTAAGCTTATATTTGAGTAAATTGCAAATCATCTTAATTAGGATATTACAAGGGTGCTAAACGGTACAGTTTCTCCCTGGCAAAGGGGGTTAATTAGATTGTACATTTCACAAGCAAAGGCTGCTGTGTGGTTTTATGTACAAGCTTTTAATCAACCACATCATCGCTAAACAGCTTAAATTTGCTGGCATCAAGAACCAGTTTCCTTACAGATGAAAATGTGCCCAAAAGTCCGGCGCCTGTGAACACGATCATTATAGATATGTTGATCCAATAAATGAAGGTTGATTTTGGAGGCTTATAGGTCTTGTTGTAGAGAAGCATTGGCAGGATGAAATCTAAAGGGATGAAGCCGACAGCTCCAACCACACCGCTTATGTCTCCGAAAAATGGAAGCATTGCCGCAAAAAAACCGCAGAGCATCATGTACAGGGATCGGAGAATTATTCGAGGAATGAGATTCCTTTTTGAAAACATTCCTTGATTGACATCAGCTGATTTCTTTTCCATGATCTCATAAGCAACTTGAGAATAAACCTGCGTCATATTGGAGAAAGATCACCTCAAATGCAACTTTAAATAGGCTTGAAAAATCAGACAACTGTACAGAAATGTTTTCCCTCCACCATTGTAGTAATTTTCCCCTCCTGTTATACACTGTAATTTTCAACTTGGTATGAAAAGCACATGAGTAAGTTTACCAGGCCAATGGCTAAAAGCTGAAGGAGTACGAAGATCACAGTAACTGCAAGAACCCAAGTTGGAGCCAGAGAAGGTCCCTCATCTGGCATTAGGCTCTCTATAATGTTTGAACTAGCTTTGTTCCCAAACACCCAGTACCCGGACACTGCAGTTGAGTAGAAAGTAATGAAAATTACTGTGTAACACATGACAAGACCTTTTACCATCTTTCCAGTAGCTGGTGGCGCCAAAGTTGCCTGCATTGATCCATGGGCACATGATAGAATTAAATAAAAAAGAATATGTCAAACAAGTGATTGCTTGACCTAATTTTTAGATGTTCATGATTTTCACACTAAAACTAGATGGGAACTTGAGCACATGTTCCCAAGCATTCTAGTTAAATCAACCAGATCATGTAATGGATGTGCCAACTAGCATGAGAAAGCTTGGAATTTTGCAACTAATAGAAAGTTCCAAAGAGGCTGTAGTTACTTGTATTTCAGGAAGAATTCCGTTCCCGAAGATAGCAGCAATTATGGAGATGGAAGTGAAGGCATTAAACAGCTTTGCTGAATTCGAAGATTCTAAGGAATAGTCCCTCGCAGGGGCATTCTTAGACGTACCTAGAGGAAAAAAGAAATGTTTACCACAGGATTAGGACTTGCTTTCTTAAAATAGATAAATAAATTTCATGATCCAATAACTCAACTGGTTGTCTGGCCCCTTTAGTGAAAAATAAACCGTCATTACTGTTGACAATTGAAAGCTCCATGTCTAACTGCTTTACTTAGAAACTTGATAATCGTCGAACCCCTTCTCGAGGATTATACAAGGCATTCCCTTGAGTATTTATTAACAATAGAAGCCCATGCTAACATGCATGATGCATGTCATACAACTTCAATTCCGCATTCCTAATTCGGAGCGGTAAGAGTTGTCAATGACACAATGCTAGTTTTGGCACCAGGGAACAATTTGTTGCTCTAACTCGTCCAGAAGAATCAAGTTATTTTCTTTCTGTTTTGATGATGCATGAGTACGATACAAGAGCGGAAAGTTACAAGCAAGATATACAGCAATTCTATGCATGAGTAGCATATATATAAATGATGATGCTGAAGGGATGTTGAAGGATTCAGTACCTGCATAAATACAAGCACCAACCACCAGGAATGAGTAGCCCAAGCTGAGAAGCAGCGAACCGAAGTTGATGTGCCTGAGGGAGTGGAAAGTTGGAAGCTGAGAGATGACTATCATTACCGCTGTAACCATGGCTATGAAGTGGTACAATTTCAGAGATCCATTGGGAGAAAGTTCTGAATACATAATCTTGCCAAAAAAAAAAGACAATCAAGATAATGCAAGGTTACTAAAATTGGAATCAGTTCACAATAAACCAATTTTCTATTGATACTTTTGGAAGCTCATGTGCTGATGAGATATTAATGGTACCATACCTTAAGGCATTCTCCAGCCAGCAAAATTGCTCCAATTCCAACCCCAGTGTTTATGGCCGTTTGAATGAATATCACAAAATAAAACATCCATCCTGACCCTGTAAACAAAACCAAAACGCCCCGCACATTTTCAGTTAATACAATTAAAGATTCCACATTTCTAATTCAAGCAGGACAGACACAGAGCACCACTAACAAACAATGTAGCCTTTTTTGTATTAATCAAATGCAATTTGTGCACCAATTTCAGACTAACGTTTAACAAACAGAACAAATTCCCTGCTGCTTTGCAGCTTTCTCCACTACCAAAAAAATAAAAGATCAAAGATTGGTGCTTTCAAGTTTTCAACCTTCCCTACCGGTGTCGAAGCCTAGGCCGGGTTCTGAACGACCAGGTCAGACCCGACCCGACCCGAATTGACTCAATTGCAATTACATACACGTGTCACAATCCCACTACATTCACACCCCACACGTTTTGTGGGCAAGACCCACGTGTACTTCAAAGTCGTCAGATGGAGAAGTCAAAGTTCAAAGAGCAGAGCACCAGAGAAACAACCGGAGCAAAACGTGTAAACGAGTCTGCCGCCACCCCAAAAGGACGCAAACACGACCGTTTCGATTTCATTTTAAAAAAAATTCGCGCAACAAAAGAAAAATAAAACAAAAACATGCAAAATTCAAGAAGTAAGAGGAAAGCAAAAACATGTGGTGGTTAGTTAATTAGTTATTTTTTTTTTTTGGGCAACAAACATGACCGAATTACCAACCATTTACCAAACGACGGCGTGTTAGAGTTTTTGCTCAGAGTTACCTAAGACATCGGCGGCGAGTTCACGGAATCGGATGTGGCGGCGGCCAGCCTTCTCGCAGTGGTCGAGCACTTTGGACATGAGGTAGTAGGAGTAGAAGGTGACGACGCCCATGATGGTCAAGCACAGGAACCCTGGGCCCCAACCGAGGCCTCGGAACGCGTAGGGCAGCGTCAGTAGTGTGGGCCCCACTATCGCCGTCGTCAGATGGAACCCCGCATGCCACCACTGCCCTGTATAATAAATAATAAATAATATTACGTAACGCATACATAATAAACCAGATAAATTAATAAAATTGGATGAAAACAAAAACAAAAACAAAATTAGAAGGAATTTGAAAAATGTGCGACCTTTTGATTGGAGGACGAAGACTGCGCCGGCGTCTTCGTCGCGGCTGGTCTCGAGGAACGGTGCCGGGTTCGGAGGCTCCGGCATCATTTGGTGAGAGCCGCCGAAAGAGGAGGGTGTGGGTGGTGCAGGGGTGCGCAGGTTAGTGAGGACTGAGCTGAAGGCTTAGTTTTTTAGGTTCTTCCGCTCTGGAGGAGTAAACTAAGGGCTAAAGTGCGCGGGGTGCGGAGAGAACATTTGCCGCCCGAGGGGAAAACACAAACACAAATGAGGTAGGTGGTTACATAGAGGAATGGTTTTAACTTATTCCAGTTATTCCAAGTAAGCCTCTCTCTCACTACCTGATTTTACAGAATTGCCCCCTTCTGCTTTGTCTGTTTTCGTTGCAAGTGGGGAAGGAGGAGGGGGGTGGGGTGTTGTGGTGGTGGTTCGATTTCGTCTCTTATCGTAGCGTTGGTGTGAAGGAATAAATTATCTATTTTGTTTGCGACCCCAGCAAAAGAAAGTATCTTAAACGGCGCGTTTTAGTCACCGTTTGTTCGTTTTTGGAAAGCAAGGCACTTTCAAACAAACCCACTTGCATTGTTGTTGTTGGTGTGAAGAGTGTTGGTGTGAGTCAATAGCCAATAATACTTCATTGAAAAAAACAGATGGGGCCATTCATTCATTGTTGCAAAGGCTAAAAGTTAACATCAAAGTTGAAAATTTAAAAAAAAGTACAGAGATCAAAGTCAGATTAGGGCGCCTAAGGCCATCAAACTGATGGACATGACCTACTACATGTGCTCAAGAAACACTTGAGCATGAATGAATGAGAATCAACAGAGAGAGGTTGCAGCAGCAGAAGCAGCAACACTTTTGTTGTATTCTTCTAGTTCCTTCTTGTATGCCTCCATTGCTTCAGCAGCCTTGTCATTCCAAGGCTTCCTCTCTTCTTCACTCAATTCCTATACAACCCCCAACAGCAGAAAAAGGATGAATTTAATTAATCAATCAAAAGAAAAATGTTACCAAATACAATTTTGAATGAAAGGGAGGGAACCCACCTTCCATTTCACTGAAATCAGTGCAGTGATGGTGGAGCTGTTGGTCCCTGGTCTCTCCTCCAGTAGACTCTTTCTTGCCTCCTTGCTACAGTATTCAAAAGAAAACCACGAATCAGCTATTTTTCCCTTTTACAGGGTTTTGCAACATTTACCGAGTGAGTTTTTTTTACCTGAACAAGATGTATGAGGAGGCAGGCTTCTTGGGCTTGTTGGGATCATCAGCATTCTTCTTTTCTTCCTTCTTCTTCTTCTGTTCCTCCTTTGTTTTCTGTTTATTGTACAACTTGATTAGTAATCATTTAGAAAAAGAAAAAAAAAACATGTGACAGAAACAATACTAATCAGTGAACAATTTGACTAGCAAACCTTAATGATGTTTTCTGTCTTCTCCTTCTTCTTAAGCAGCTGCAAGGCTTCATGCTTTTGCAGTTTCATCAGCTCTTCCTCTTCCTTTTTAAGACTGGAAGCTTCCTCTTCCTTCGTCTGTTTGTAAACCTCCATCTCTTGCATATACTTCTCCTTGTTCTTCTTTGCCATCTGCAAGTTTCGAAGAAACCCATGAACTTATTACGTTAGCTGGCGCAGGGAAAATAACATCACAAAAGAGAAGGAAAAAGCTTTGATGTGCTTGCTACCTCTTCATATGGACGTTTTTGTTTCTCTGTCATGTTTTTCCATTCTTCACCTGTGATCTTTGCAATCTACAAAATAGTCCCAAAGTTGACAAATTAAAAGAGATCAAATGAGTAAATACGGATGGAGCTTTTTCAAATGGGGATGGTGATTTTCAATTACCTCAGGGACAGTTTTGCTCTCTGCAACCAGAGCTGCTCGCCTCTCATTTGTGAACAGGAAAAATGCTGACATCGGTTGCTTGGGTTTCAATGGATCCTTTTCTTTCCTGTAAATCCAAAATACGTAAAATTATCAGTTCTATAGTCTCCTAGATAGAAAGACAGAGAGAGAGAGAGAGAGAGAGAGAGAGAGAGAGAGAGTTTTACTTGGTTTTCTTGTTGTCTTTCTCTGCTTCTTGTTTGAACTGCAGGTATTGTTCAAGCAACTCCATAGCTGTCTTCTGCTTGTGCTCCTCCTCCAATAGATGCATTGCTTCACTCTCGCGCTTCTCTTTTGCTGTCACTTGCAAATAAGCTTCCTTCTCAGCCTGGTACCTCTCTTCATAAGGCTTTTTCTCTTCAGCAGTGACGTTCTTCCACTTGGCCCCCAAAATGTTTGAGATTTCTTTGAACTCTGCCTCAGGGTTCTCCTTCTTGATCTGCATCAAAATCCCAAAAGAGAATATAGAAACTGTTTCACATTCAAATCCCCAGAACCAAATTATACTCTATCTCTTTACCTCATTCCATTGATCTTTGCACCATAGGACATAAGGAGGGGCTGGCCTTTTCTTTTCAGGACACCCCTTCTTTTTCTTGTCGTTCAGTGATTGAGCAATTGGGAATGCCTGACAAGGATATAATAACAATTGTGTCAAATCCCATTTCAAGATTATAGCATTAATTTGATCAAACACCTAAGAACCTATAAATCAACCCTTATGAAGCTTGCACATTTTCTCACAATTTACCAGCAACCAAACAAATGAAAAACCCAAAATCAAGGATCATCAAACCAAATTTCATGTTTTTAATGTTTTGCTCATTCTCTCAGAAACCAGCCAGAGTCTAATGCAACAAAAGAATCCAGGAGAAAATAAATATAAAACTGAAGAAAAATAAAGGGGATCGACAAAGAAAACCCTAAGAACCTAAATCAAGAATGGAGGTTTTAATTTTTTTCAAAAAATACCAAAACAACATATAAGAACCCTAAATCAAGAATCATCAAACCAAATTTCAAATCTTGAATACATTTTCTCAGCAACTACACAACACAAGAACAGTAATTACAGAAACGAAGAAACGAAAGGGGATCAAGAAATACACACCATGGTGGGTTTGAACTCCTTCAGCTTCTGCAGCTTCTTCAACTCCATCTGAAGCTTGTCTTGCTCTCGGCCCTTGGTTTCAAGCTCTTCCTCCTTGAGCTTCAAGATCTCATCTTTCTCCTTCAACAGCTCTTCAGTCTTCTCCTTCTCAAGCCTCATTTCCTGAAGCTTCTCTTGCATTTCTTGCAGATCTTTCTCGAAAGACGATTGGGTCTCCTTGGACTGTTTCTTGGAGGCCGCGGCCTTCGATTTGGATTTCTTGGGGGATGCGCGAGGCTGAGAGAGGCTCTCATGGTTCTCCTTTGCCAGGTCGGCTTGAGATACCGCTTGTATCGGGCTGGGATCGGGCTCAGTGACCTTGCCGGCCTGGATATTGGCTTCGTTTCCAGATGGGTTTTTGTCCTTGAGCGCCCTTCGATTGGTCCTTGCCTTCCTTGTGGGCACTTCGGCAACTGCAGTGTCAGCCATAGCAGAGAGAGAGAGAGAGAGAGAGAGAGAGAGAGAGATTGGAGGATTTTGATTTTGAGTGGTTGTTGAGTGGAAGAGGGCGGTGTTTATATGGAGAAGGCGGGGGAGACCCAACGGTAAGATTTTTAAAATTCAAATTTATTTTTGAGATTGGATAGTTGTTGGAGGTCCGGGACTTGGCCTTTTTTGACCGTTGGTAGAAACTAAGAAGCGGGCACAAGTTCTTACCATATGGAGAGCGCATTTGAATTATCTTCCATACATGGTTCTTTTGTTCTTTAATTTGATAGTTTCCTTCCATATTGGCCAAAAGGAAGTGATAAACAAAATTTAAAATAATTATTCATTTGGCAAATCCCATTTCATACATGTTCATGCTAATTTTAATTTTACAGTTAGTATTCTCTGAATGAAAGGTTGTTAATATAAACTACTGATTATGAAAAAATTTCCTCACATTATGTAAAGCCAAATTCACAGTCTAATAATTTAATACATATGCATCTGACGATTCGATTTAACAATATATATAGATGGATTTAGATTAGGACATATAATAACATGCATTACACAGCTTACAAACTAATAGGTGTTGTGTATGTTTGTCATTGTTCCCAGAGAGGGGAACGGATTTGGATGGGAACAAGTCAATGCTGGATATTATGCAAGCTTTGCATAAAAGTTTGATGATTTATTCAGTTGGGCCTAATTGGAAAAAATCATGCATTCTTTTTTTCTGCATAAGGGTGACATGTATGAAATACCTCAAATTTTACTCATGTCAAAATTCTCAAATATGAATATTCAATCAGCTTTGAGACCATTATGATCATTTACAACGTAACGTTTCACACTTCTTGCAGATAAAAGAACAAATAATCTTAAATAAGATGAAAAGAACAGATTTCTGAATTAAGATTATAAAAATTTGAAGTTTATAGCTTGTAATAGTGACAGAGGTTACACTCCTTTTGTTGCTCAAAGGAGGGTCTAAAGCGGCTGAAAGTCTAGGGAGGGGAGTGGAGAGTCAAATTCTCACTGCGAATGTGGAGGTAACTGCTCTTCCACTACAGCTATGCGCCTGGACGACAGAGATAACAGTTCATACAACATGATGGTCTTTTTGCGGTATTCTATTCTTTGTAAGTACGTATGAGGATGTCAATGACAGGCCAGTTGACACTGGTAAAGGTGCAGTTGGGGCAAAGATGACCGATTTATCTGGAGAAGAATGAAGAATTGTAGTATAGACAAGGCATAAAAGGAATATGAGTCATCATGATCTAGAAGGATCCAATATATATGCTCTCATGATCTAGAAGGTGTCACAAAATAAGAATTCAGGCACCAAACTAAGCTGATGTTCTCAGCCATTTACCACCATCTCCATTAATATATCATTCCAAGAGTCTATTGGCCCTGGTAAGCACCAATGCAAACAATCAGTCTGAACCTTTGCGTTTTTGTCATGGTCAAATGGATGATAATGTCTATATGGACCTGGATGCCCATCAGGCCTCATCAAAGAAAGCGGGACAAGGTCAAGGAGTTTGAGATTCACCCCACTTTTAGAAGCTTCTGCAGCTGCCTTCTCAAACACCTCTAGTTCAATTCTACGCAGAATCTTATGTACCTCCTTCAGTTCAACCTCACCTTCTTTAACTGGGGCTGTTCTCCTGCAATTTCCCCCATTAAACCACTCCCCGTTCTCAAAGTGATCAGGAGTGGACGTTCTAAAAAAGATCATGCCCTTGTAATCAGACGTTACTATATAGTCCATCACAAAACTCAGGACTTTGCGATAAGAAAAATCAAACCCCAACTCTGTTAGGTTCCTTTTAGGACAGTAATGGCATCCCAGCACTTCATTGTTCTCATAGTAGATTGCAGTTTTGAGAAACCATT